ATCCTCCACTTAGACCACTTGCCTCATCCTCTAAATATTTAGGATGTTCTGGCACCCATCAATGCAGAGACATAAGAGCAGGTGGAAGAGGTGCCGAGCAAACCTCAGCCGTGAACACAGCCCTACTCAGCTCTCCTGACCCTTGCTATTCCCTTGATCTATGGTTATCCTGCTCATGGCAGCTGTGCCCCACATGTGCCTCCAGGCATCTCTAGCTCTCAGCTAGAACTGCACACATACTATCACCAGTGCTTCTGTAGCACAGCTCTCTCCCATGACCATGCCCCAGCAGCTCAGGGGCATCTCTGGGTTGTTTTTCTTTGCTACAGTTGTCCTCCTGGATGCAGCAGTGCAGGACACCTTGCTGTTTTGGAAAAAAGACAGGCCCAAATCCTGCTGCTGCAGCCAGTGAGTGATGAAAAAAACCACTAAGTAGCTGTGTTGATGCCCCAGCACAGGGTTTTTGCACAGGGTACAGCCTAAGAGCCACCTCTGAAAGATAGAGAAACTCTCTGGGAGTCATACCTCAGCATATCACTAAGAAAATGCATTCCCAGCTCATATCTCACAATTTTTCTGGGGAAAAAAATAAAAATCACCAAATGCTTCTTCTCTGATAAGACTAGAGAAGAGTAAATAGCCCAAACTACCTCAGTGTGAGCAAATTTGACCAGCAGGGTAAGAAAAACAACCCATCCCTTTCCCAGACACCCTTGGGCCCCACATGTTCACTTAAAATAACACTAGAGGTAGCTCCTGCTTTCTGTAGGACAGAGGCTACAGGTGGGCAGAGCAGCCTCTACCCAGCACACTTGAGCCTGCCCGTACTGGCAGTGGGGCTCTGTAAGAATAGTCTCATCAGGTGCCTCTTCTTTTTGTGTGAGGATTTAGGTGATAGGGGAGGGAAGAGAATTTTTGTTAGGCTGCTGATGTAGAGTCAGCAGTACCTGTAGAGCCAGGGAACATTGTGCTGAAGTGCTGTGGAGATGAGGAGAGTAATAGGAATAAACAAAAATAAAAGTCTTTGGATTATAAGAACTTAAAATAAAGATATTCTTTAAACAGTTAGTAGCTGCAGCTTGGGGTCAGCAATGTCTTGTACCTGAGGCCGTGTGAACTAACAACATTAATTGAGCCTCCTGGGTATGTAAGCCTCTTATCTACTTATACACAGTGCTTTATCTGAGCTGGGAAAAAAATGAGATTATTAGCTACTTTTAATGAACAGCAGTAGGATGTGCATGTTCACTACTCTGCTGGAAGATGCCTCCCTCTCTCTCTGTTTTTCTTTATAACTGTTAGCTTTTTTAGGATATAAGACTTCAAAAGGGGTGTAGATGTCATAGGAAGGGGCTGAAGGTGTTCTCAAAGCTTCTGCTTGGCTTCTTAATCCTACAGATGCTTCTCAGTTTCTCAGATCTGACACCTCAAAGCTGTCTTGTGGGGCTTTCCCTGCCTTGCTTAAGTGTTCAGCAAGGTGAAAAAGGTGTTCAAGCTCCCTGTTCAGCAAGCTCTGAAACCTCTCTCCTCAGCATCTCACTGTGCCCATGCTCTGTCTGGGGTGCCCATCCAAAGTGTGGATGGGCCACAGCTCCTGGTGGGCACAGAGATCTCAAAGATGGACTGGAAGGGGTGGAGGTAAAGCTTTGGGTGATTTAAATGCAACTTACAGGTTATGGAAGAGTCTCTGTAAGACCCAATTTTCTACATTGGAGGGTAGTAGATTCTAGTCTGGGTTGTGCTTATGGGTTGGGGATGGAGCCTTGGCTGCAGTGGCCTGGCTGGGAGCTACCCACAGTTGTGGTCCATGATTTTTAGAGAACATACGAAGCAAAATAGCATGAAATCAGCACCACAGTGATTCCAGCCCCCAGCCACCCTCTTCCTCTTGCCACCATCAGAGTGGGCAGACTTGCTGGCTCACCAGCCCCAAGGGCCCTGTGCCTGGAGGAGGAAACTGATATGGAGAGCCTATCTGCAGGACCAGATTAAAACCCCAGCCTGGAGTTTCCCAAGGCAGTCTGTCGCCAGCAAAGGGCTCGTGGGAGCCGTGCCTTCCCTCCCGGCACCAGCCCTGCCTGTCACCCTGCCACTGGCATGCCTCCAGGTGTGGTCCCTGATCTGGATGTCCTTGTGCTCTGAGGGTGACTTCCACCATCTTCTGCCTTTTCTTTAAGGTCTCAGAGAGCTGTGTTTGCTTTTCAGAATTCCCTTTCCTGATTGCTTTGAAAAACAGACGCCCTTTGCCCCTGCTCCCTCTAAAAGCCATGGCTTTCCTCGCTGCTAGTAGCCTGTAAATATCTTTCCTGTTACAAATGTGCCCTTTCAGTTGCTTTCTGGCTATAAGTAGTGTTGCTTTTCTGTTTCTCTTTGGAAGTTGATTCTTGTTTATTACCCTCTTATCCATAAGCTGCTAATGCTGGCAAGGAGAGATTGGGTAATTTCTCCTCTTCTAAGGTGCACTTCTTAACTAAATGACACCTGGGTCCACCACTAACATTAAGGATGCTGTACTTGAGAGAGGATTCAGGCCAGGATGAGGGTTTAAGAGCACTGCAGGGCTTTCTCTTTGCCTTTCTTTTGCATTTGGACCTGGAGGCTAATCGGGAACTTCAGCCACGGGGAAGCCATGGTGCTCTGTGGCTTGGCCCAAATGATTTCTAAGCAAGGGCAGGATGAGATGCAGGACCAGAGCAGGGCCCAAAGCAGAGTTTTATCTCTCTATCCTCACACCTAGACTGAACCCAAGGAACTGCTCAGTCCTTCTCCCTTGAGGAACCAAGCACACCATAAATATGGAGCTAGAGACAGGGGCAAGCACCTTGCAGCTCTGATTCCTGGCCCTGATCCTGTTCTAAGAGCCTGATTCTTCTCCAGATCCTTCCATCATTTTTCAGCTCCATTCTCAGCTTGAGTTTTCGAAGCTGCCTCTCTGCTGCATCTGAGGGCTCATCTAACATCTCTCTTGCACATCTCACTTCTTGACCCACCTTAGCTGCTTCTGCCCACAGGAAGCAGGGGGGGAAACAAAACCCTACAGCTTAGAATCTCAAAGTGGTTTGCAAACCTCTCCTCTCCCCACTGCAATGCTGCTTGTTCTGGTGGTGGGAAAGCTGAGTCAGGGAGCAGTGTGTCACGGGGTCATGTACTTCAAGCACCAAACGCCTGGGAGCACCAGAGCAGAACTGGTTTGTAGGATCCCAGGTGCACAGCCCACTCTTCCACCCATCTGTTTCACCCCACTAACCAGCTCCTGCAGCATAAAACAGGCTGTGGTTGCCAGTGGTTCCTTTGCACCAGAGCCGAATAGTGCCAGCCCCTGGGATGGTGACGATCATTCAGGTGAGGGGACACACACACAAAGCGGGGGGAGGGAGCTCTTAAAACTCTGAAGGGGTTGGCATGAGGCAAAGAAATGCAGCAGCGAGAAGGCTCTCTTCCAAACTTATATATACGCTTCAAAAAAAGAAAAAAAAAAGGAGAAAAAAACCCAAAAGCTGGAGCTAAAAAGGCAGTTTGAGGAACGAAGCTGCTGGAGTTTTCCGAGAAGGCTCCCAAGATGCACAATGGGAACATCTGTACCTCGGCTGGCACCTTGGAAGGGTCTCAGGCCGCAGAGTGGGGCTGGCGTCAGCCGGCTGCAGCCCTGCCTTGATGCCACCCTCTCCCCAAGCCCCTGCCCCGGCACAGCTCCTCCCGCTGGCCTCGCACAGAGCCGTAAATCCCCCTTCCCACCTCTCCTCCTTCGCCACGGGTTCTGCGGGTTCCGAGCAGCCGAGAATCCCGCAGCAGGAGCAGGGGAGAAGGGAGGTTTGGCCCTGGGAACAACTGTCCTCTGTGTTGCCCGTGAAAGGCAGTTTCATAAGGCTTTTGCTCAAAAACGTCCCGTTAATCGGGACCTGCCGAGCGGGTCAGCCCTGCTCCTGGGGACAGAGGGACAGGCCAAATTGGTGGACACACACTCAGTGTCTTGGCTTTGGCACTGGTGTTCTCCAGCCTTGAGGGATGAAGGCAGGCAGGATTGATCTTGATCCTGCATTGTAAGGCTCTCAGGGGGCTGGGGGATGCAGTCAGTCCCCCTGCCTTCAAACTTTGTGCCCACTCCTGGCAAGGGAGTGGGTATGTGCCCAGAACACTTGGTGGAGCCTCACATAACCCCGTGGGCCCCCACTGCAGCAATTCCCATGAACAGAGCTGTTAGGAGGCGAAATGGGTCCCTTGGGGGAGGCGGTGGTGGCCTGAGGTGGTTAGAGGCAAGTCTAAGGGGAAAAATCCCTCCCCTTCAACTCCCTTCAGCTGCTTCATCTTTCTCTCTCCCCACACCTACTGCTCCTGTCCCTTCCTGGGGGGCTCAGTGCTTGCCTGGTGCCAACAAAGGTTTGAGAGGACACAGAGACCATTTCTGCCAAGTGTTTCCCACCACCCAGGACTTGGTTTCCTGCTGCAAATTTTCTCTCTTGAGCTACAAGTAAATGAGGAAAACATATCCTTGTTCAACGTAGCGTGGGCTGCAAAACACTTCCCTCTCAAGGGGATAGCCTGACCTTACACAAAGGCAAATTATGGAGATGGAAGGGATGTGGAGCTTTACCTGACACTGGACTTAGGTGCTAAATATGGGGGTTTATTTGCAGGGTTGGAGGCAGTGGGTTGTCATGTCTCCAGGCTTAAAGGGGTAGATCTGTCTCAGGTCCAGGTTTCTGAGAGTGGGATCCAGTGGCAAGGAAGGTGCCATTCCTAGAGGTAGGATGAACCTAAATCTGTCCAAGGCAGGAGCATCATTTGATTGTTGGGGAGCAGCCCCCATGGAGGTACGTGGGATTAAATTCCCAATTTAATGAGTTTGTTTAGTCAAGATTCCCTCCAATAAGGGAGACCTAGAAGATCAAAAGGAGGCTCCGTAGGCAGTTGTGTTCATGTGCTCATTCTCTACATTCATCCCCAAAACAAGAGATGCTAAGGAGGTCTCTGAGTGCCATTTTCCTCTCTTGTTATTGCAGTCAATGATGCCAGAGGCCAAGAGGATCATTCCTGCCTCCTGCTGACGTTAGCTCCTCAAGACTCATTGACAAGATGTCTCCCTCCAGGACATTTAGGCTGCTGATGCTGAAGGCAAACATAATTTCTCCCCCATTATTTCTAGCTTGATCAGCCTAGGATTAGAAAAAAAAAAATCCAAACCAAAAACCAAACCCTAAAAATGATAATATAAAAATAACAACAAAAATTTGGCACAGTTCCCGGTCTTTGTTGCTCAGCCCCTGATGTCTGGATGGCTCTGCAGGACCTGGAGGGGTATGAGTCCCTGTGTATGAGGAGTACTCAGGGTTTGCCTGGGGCAGGGTAGAGATAAGCGACAACAAGAAATCAGTTTTGGAGAAACTTTTTCACCCTAAATTGCATAATTATGGCATCTTAAAATGACAACAAATGCCTGTCTGTGTAGCTCCGGCCTTTGATTTTTCCATTGTTCTGCTGTTTTAAGAGGCCAGAAGATTAAAGGGGACCCCTGTATGTCCCACAGTGCCACCACAGAGTGGCCTTGGATGACTTGGCCCCTGGAAGTTGCCACTCATGGCTGAGATCCCCAACTTATAAAGTCAGAAGTGGTTTCCAATAAAAGGAAAAAGCCTTCATCTTGGCCAGGTGAAGGCTGAATGCAAACAGCGATGTCTCAGGATGGTAAACTGATCCCAGTGTTGCCCTGCAGCCTCTCTGGCTGCTCCTGCCCTGGATCTATGGGTGGTCCTGTATTCACAGGACCACAGCATGCCCTGAATTCCTGTCTCATTGCATCCTGCTGCCCATGGCAGGGCTCCTCCCCAACAGAGACAGCTAATGTTTCTTTATGCCCCTTGTTTTACATTCCTAAATTAATTGCTATCTTCCAAGTAACACTAATGGGTGTTATCCTGTCTTCCTCCTCTTTCCCCCATCATGGTGCTGCAAAACTTCAGCTGTACATGTTTTTTGGTGACAGGTGTGGATGGTTAGCTGCTATTTTGTTCAAATGCATTTGCCACGGAATTGCCTCTTTGTCCATCTTCTCCTCCTGTTTTAGGGCTGTAAATACTAATGGTTTCAAGTAGACCTGGGATATGGGAGAGCAACCATTGCTTGCAGTGCATTACCAGACACCAAAGATGCCAAAACACTGAGCAATGTAAGTGGCCTTCACACCACTTTTGTGCTTGTGAGCTGCCGAAAATACATCCTGGCAACTCGGGGCAGAGCCGGGCCCTATCCCATCCCAGCCTGCGAGGGGATAATTCAGGAACCAGCAGCCCGAGGGCACCATCTAGTGAACAGCCCGGACGGCACAAACCTGAAATGGGCAGAAATGGAGTGAAAATCGGGATGGGGGGGTTTCCAGTCAGGACTGAGGAGTCACGTTTTGTGCCTTCCCTCTACTCCAGTTAATTTCTAATTTTCTCCATCAGGTCCCCCCATAGAAGAGCCTTTGCCCGACTCCACCCATTGTGGCAGGGACATTGGCCTGGAGCATACCACACTTGCTGCTCTGCCTTATGTTTTCTTGTTTGTGAAAAAAGTGAATAATAAAGGGTTATTTCTAATTCTTTGTGAGGGGCCCCAGGTGTGCAGGAGCGGAGTGATGGAGGCAGCTCTGTCGTGGGGCAGGTCTGAGCTGGAAGCACAGGCTGTGCTTTCAGCTGAGATGAAGCCTCCTTTTGAATGGAAAATTAAAAGGAACACCACAGATGCTCTAACATCTCCCCATCACCCCCAAGGTGAGCTGATAGGGGGAAAGCAGGCTGAAAGACCACAGGTTTGGTGCAGAGCTTAAAGCTCCCTGAGCTGATGCAGCAACTGGGGATGAAGGAAACACCACACCAAACTACTGCTGCTTCCAGTGCTGGTGTGCTGGGCTGGGTCCTCTCCCCATGTTGCCATACTGGGAATTGAACACCTTGCCAGGAGAAGGCTGTCCTGAAGCACTCCTGATCTAAAAGATGCCACCTTCAGGAGTTCATGGCCCCCATGACCTATTGACACCCAGCCCCCAGCCCCCCCCCCGGTTTATCCCTGGGAGCTTCTTTGTGTTTTGCCTACAGCAAACCCTACCCACGCACCCAAAGCATCCATGGAGCAGGGACTGAGAGGTACAGGGGTACTTGGGTCAGGCTGCCCCACCTGTCCAGCTCACCCTTTGCAGCCCCCTTTGTGGCCAGCTCCCTAAGGAGGATGGAGCTGCCGGGAATTGTGCCTTTTCCTCTCATATGCACACAGTCACGATGGTTAGTTAAGTGGCTTGTTTTTCATTAGGAAAAGACTGTTGCTAGGCCACCCCGTTCCCCGGCGTTGGTCGGGAAGGAGTTTTGCAGCCAATCCGGGAGGCTGTGCTGGGGTTTGCACACGCACACATCACGCACACCCCTCCTGCAGCCCAGGTGCTAAGCGGCTGCCAGATGTGCCTATTCATTTCCACATCACACCTATCTGCTTCTTCCGGCCAAGCAGCTTATTAAAACTCCTAGGATTTTAATTTATAGTTGTCTGAGAGTTTTCTCCCTTCTAATTTACGCTCAGAGGGTAGAGAGGGGTGATGGTGGGTGGGGGTAGTGATGGGGCGAGGATACAAGGGGGCCGGGTCCTCCCTCTGCTCTGGTCTCTAGTGAATGCCCGAGTGAAGCCTCGTGTTTCTGACTGCAAAAAGGGTGAATTGTCCCTCTGTGTCCCCACAGTGGGGGGACAGATAGTCTCAGGCTGGGGGCTTGCTCCAGGCTGTTATTAGGTACTGCTCCACCCCAAGACACTCATGTTGTGATTTTTAGGGATATCCTGTGTAACCAGGTGTTAGTGGGTTCCCTCCAACTCGGGATATTCTATGGTGCTGTGATTTGGAGTTTACGTGACATTTCAACCACATGTACCATGATAAGCAGAGCCAGCAGCAAAGCTTACCAGGTGTTTGATCAGGGGATGCTGCTCCCAGCTGCGGTCCCCATACAAACAGCCCCCAGCAGATGGGAGAGGTGCTGGACCATGGTCAGGCATTGGTGATGCCTGACCTCTGATCAGACAGATCCCCAGTACAGCTGCTGTTCTGCTATGGTGCTATTCCAAGTACCCTATGGGTGTCCAACATCCACCCGACAGAGCTGTGGTGCATGGACAAGACAGGGTGTGAGCAGAGCCCAGGATATGAGCAGGATGGAGCCTCTTACAGCTGCAAAGCTTTCACCACGCAGGACAGGAATAGACACCAAAACATGCAGAAAAATGTGGGCAATCCACATGAAACTCAGTTTCTGACTGTCCCCCATGAAAACCCCCATGTAGTAGGAGGGAAGCTCAATGAAAGCAACAGAAAGAATTGGATTGTGTCTGCTGCTCAAGGAGAAGCTGTTGCTAGACAGAAGCAAAAGCCGTCGCCATCAGCTCCCATTGGCTCAGTCCCACTCCAATGACGGGCTTATCGGTTACCTGCACTCGCAGCTGGCTGGAAAAAAACTCATTTGACAATGTTTTCCCTCTGATAAAAAAGCCCCGTGCTGGATTCGTGGGTTTGGGTTAATCATTGTTCAGAGTTGTTGAGATAATGGCTGAGTTTTCTGCAGATTCTTCAATTACCGCAAAATTAAGCATAAATTGTGAGACAGCCCAGCTCTCCTTCATCCGCCTAAAGATGCTCAGCCTCCCGACATGAGCACCAGTGGGCCGCTTGTGGGATGAGCCAGAGTGTGTGATGAGCCCAAGCGTGTTCAGCCATGGCAACTCCGAGTTGGCATGTTGGTGAATATTCACAAACACCTGTGAAAATCCTGATTAGCTCTCAGAGGGTGAAAATGGGCCCAATGTCACCATTTAGATTATTCAGAGCAAACATCGTTGTCAGGGAGCAGATTGCCACCACCCCTAATCATCCATGTGGGGTTTGCTCAGCAGCAGTTTTTGGGGGGGCTGGGGGGCTGCAGCACAGTGTTGGGGTTTTCCAAGCCCCTCACACCTGATGCAAATAGGGATTAACACCCAAATTTGTTTCTCACCCTCCCTGAGTACCGGAGATTGTGGCAAAGCTTGCAGGGTGTGTCAGCACCAAAGAGCAGCTGGCCTTTGCCTGCTTTGCTGCCCCCAAATTTGCTCCCAAAGCAGGGAGGGAATTCCAGTAGGAGAGTTAAATAAATGAGGCGTCAGTGGGGACAAGCTCTCAGTGCTTTGTGCTACTGTGCAACCCCAGGGCTGTGCTGTGCAGGGGGCTGGGGAGGCAACAAGTTCCTCCACTCAGGTGGATAAACAAGTTTGGAGCTGTGGGGTGCCCCATGAACTCGAGTGCCCCCCAAGGGGATGCAGTTACATGGGCCAGGTTATATGGCCATAAGCAAAGCATCCCTCTGCTGTGTCTTTCCTCTGGGTCTGCTTTTCCAGGAGCAGAAGACAGTGCTGCTGCATTGCCTTTAGAATGCCCCCATCATCTGATCAATACGTGCAGGCCCACTGAGCTTTCACCTTTCCTACACACTCACTTCCCTCCTGCCCCACTGGGAGAGGAGGAAACAGAAAAACCTGCCCCAGCTGTGCTCCTCCTGCACCCCTCTTTGTGCCCCGTGGGGTTCAGTCCCTGCCATACCTTGCCAGGTCCTGCTGACATTGCGTGGCATTCTGCTGGGGCTCAGCTGAGCTGCACCCCAAGGCTGGCACAGGGGGTGGTGCTGGCCCTGTTTTACAGCTTGCTGCACCAGGAACACACCTGGGAGAAAATGAAACAAGCAGAATTCAAAGTCCTACTGTGAGGCTGTGTTTCCTACCAGGTCTAGTGGAGAGTGCCCAGACCATGAGCTCACAGCAGAGCCCAGGTTACTCTATCTGTTGAAGGATGGTTGTGTTTGGGCCATTGTGAGGACCAAGATTTTTTTTTGATGTGTCAGACACGTTTCAAAGCATTTCTGAGCTGTTCCTGGCTTCCTCTACCAGGCAAGGAGGAGTTAAGAAGGGAAGTGCAAGATGTGCCTGGTAATGGCACTGATGTGTGCGTCAGGTGTGCCTGCGTCACCCGGCTGCCTTGGCCACTTCCCAAGGCTGGGGCTGAGCTCTCCTTACCTCCCACAGCTTGCTGGGAAAAGCCTGGGATTGTCTAGCCTGGCCGAGGGAGTTGTGAGCTCCATTCCAGTGCTGGCTGCTGTATCCCAGTGTGCTGCACCAGGTTCCCCAAAGTCCCCAGGGTGCTGGCAGCTCTCCAGCTCCCTCTGCCACCTCCTGTCTCGCAGCCCAGGCAGTGGGACTGGGCTAAAGGGTTGTTAAGGGCTGACCTTGAGGCACATGGCAAAAAACTATTAATTTTCTATAACCATGGCTGTTCAGTTCCCTGGGGAAGCACACAATTCCATGTCCAGCCCCAAAACCCTCTCTGGTGCTCCCACACCCAGCTGGGACACATCTCTGCAGCCACATATATGTCACCTACAGGCAGAGTCACTGCAGGTGAGCATCACCCTGTCCCCACACCATCACAGCAGCCCATGCCACAGCTCACCCATGCCTGCACAGCTCTCACTCATAGATGCTGGGGGAAGGAACACTGACCTGTGAGGTGAGCAAATTGCAACAGTGCCTCTCCTTAACACAGGGAGCTCCCTGAGCTGGGACAGCCCTGCTGCTGGACAGTGACGGAGCAGGATGCCCTCTTGCACTGAGCTTTCTCCAAGCAGATGAAGTGCTGGATTGCAGGGCTCCAGCTGAGCCCATTCCCTGCTCCTCCAAAGACGACAAGCCTGTACCCCAAGGAACTACTTACTCCATCCACTGTCAGGCCATTCGAAGCACCTTTTCCAGTTGCAGGTGGGTTTTAAGCCCTGGAGCATGACATGGTACTCAGGCCAATCTCACCCCACCCTCTTGCACCTGTAGAACTGCCAGATCAAATCATGCAGAATGTACACAAGGGTTTAGCAAAAACAGTTTTTAATTCAGAACTGGACAATTATGTCAATAATTTATTTAAAATTAAGTGCATTCTATGCTCTTGTCCACACTGGACATTGATCAGATCCAGACTTTTTTCTCAGGCTTCATTGTGCAGCTGGATCCCTACAAATCTATGGGGTGTGGTGGGATTCATCCAAGAATCCTTCAAGAGCTAACTGATGTCATCACAAAGCCTCTCCCAATGATTTTTGAGCAGTCTTGGGAATCTGGAGAGGTCCAAGCTGACTGGAAGCCAGCGAATGTTGTCTCAGTTTTCAAGAAGGGCAAGAAGGTGGACCCTGGAAGCTACAGGCCTGTCAGTCTCACTTCAGTGCCCAGTAAAATCACAAAGATTATTCTGGGAGGTATTGAAAAACACCTGGAGGACAACACAGTCATCAATCACAGCCAGCATGGCTTCATGAGAGGAAAGTCCTGCTCATCAAACCTGATTTCCTTCTACAACAGGGTAACCCACCTGATTGATCAATGTATGCCGGTAGATGTTATCTTTTTTGAATTCAGCAATGTTTTTGGGACAGTCTCTCACAGTATCCTTCTGGATAAAACATCCAGCACACAGCTGGATAACCATGTCACATGATGGGTCAGCAACTGGTTCACAGGTCGGGCACAAAGAGTGAACAGCGTGACATCAGACTGGCAACCTGTTGCTAGTGGGGTTACACAGGGCTCCATCCTTGGCCCAGTTCTCTTCAACATGTTCATTAACGATCGAGGCACAGGACTTGAAGGAATACTAAGTAAGGGGACTGTCCTGCTCTGCTTTACACCGGTGTGACCTCACCTTGAGTATTGTGGGCAATTTTGGGCACCACAACATTAAAAAAGACTTTAAGCTGCTAGAGAGCGTCCAAAGGAGGGCCATGAGGATGGTGAAGAGACTGGAAGGGAAGCCTTATGAGGAGTGGCTGAGGTCACTTAGTTTGTTCAGCCTAGAGGTGACTGAGGGGAGACCTCATTGCAATCTTCAACATCCTCATGAGGGGAAGCTAAGGGGCAGGCACCAACCTCTTCTCTTGTGACCAGTGACAGGACGCAAGGAAATGGCATGAAGCTGAGTCAGGGGAGGTTTAGGCTGGATATCAGGAAAAGGTTTTTCACCCAGATGGCTGAGCACTGGAACAGGCTCCCCATGGAAGTGGTCATAGCACCAAGCCTGTCTGAGTTCAAGAAGTGTTTGGACAACACTCTCAGGCACTTGGCAGGACTCTTGGGGTGTCCTGTGCAGGGCCAGGAGTTGGACTCTATGATCCTGACATATCCCTTCCAACTCAGCATATTTTACAAGTCTATGAAAAAAAGGAGGAAGGTGATCGTTTACTGGCCCTGGATGGTTTGCACCTTTGGGCATCAGCAAAACACCTCAGTCCTTCCACAGGAAAACCTGCCACTTCCATCTGGGAAGGGGACAATCCCATGGAAGGCACGGAGGATGTGCTGGTAGCCCCCACCACACATGCCCATGGGGGCTCCTCCAGGCTGACGCCAGGACCCTACTCATCCCAAAGTGACAGATGAACACAGCGCAGCCACAGCCCTCATTTCTGTGCACAAACTAGGGGCTGCAGACAGCATTTTTGGGAGACTGCTGGTGTCCAGGTGTCACCATGTCTCCATCCCTGTGCAGGGCTGGGTACTGGGCAGAGCCCATGGAGTACAAGCCCTGGGGAAGGAGGTCAGCGGTCACTTCCACCTTCCAGAGCTGAAGGCACCAGGATGGCCCAAAACACACGGAGGAGACGCTGTCCCCCATCACAGGCCACTTGCCATCAGGTCTGTGGGCCAGTACTGGTCATCCAAGTACTGGCTGCTGTCTGCAGTGGGGTCTGTGACGGGGCTGGGGGGCCGGGGGGGCAGGCTATAGGCTAGCTCCTTCTCCCACTGCACCTCCACCAGTCTGTACAGCTCCATGGCTGTCTGAGCATCTTCCACCGACGAGTGTCCTCTATGGCCAACCTGAGCAAAGGGGGAAAAGCCTCAGTTAGACAAAAGGCACAGCAAAAATCCCACAGGTCATGTTGTCTGCTTGCTCAGAAGTACACAAATGCTGTGGTTTTGGAGACAGTAAAGGTTTGATGCAACCAAGGAGGTACAGGTATCTCTTCAACACTTTCTGGAGGGCACAGGTCCTGTCCACGTTTTACTGAGATGCTTAATGGTCAGCTTGGGAGGCCCTGGGCTCTCCCAGCTTATTTATAGCCAGAGGCACAGGGTGAACAAGTGCCATCTCCATCTCACAAAAAGCACCCATGGAGGTGGGAGGGCCAGGCTGACCACACAGGTTTGTAGCTAACCCAGGAACTGCTTCCCCTTCAAGGTTCCTGGTGCTTACCTGGATCCTTTTATGGAGCAGGTGCCTGGCTAAGTTCTTGAGTGAGACGTTGGCCCTGACAGGCAGCCCTGCCCTCTGCTTCAGCACAGGGATCTGGCTGGTGTCTCGAGTCCTGTCTTTTGGGTGGAAGTACTTCAGGGCTTGGAAGTCATTGTGGATGGCGTGTCCTACCACAATCTTGTCTTTCAAGATCTTCAGGATCTGGAAGAGTCAGAAAGGGTAAGACAAGCAGCAAAAGAAACACCAATTAAGCATAAAATAAACCATTTTTTATTAAATTAAGCTCCTTGACTTCCAGTTTTTAGGTTCCCAGAAGGGAGCAACAGCCACCAAAACAACCCACTGCACAGCTTCAGAGGCTTCCTATCCTGTGGTTGTGTCTCTGCCTCAGAGCAGTTCAGCATGGGCCACCAAAAACCCCAATTTGTGTTTGGCAAATAACATACTGTTTTGGTTTTTTTTTTTAATTTCTCTTTTTCCCCTCACCTCTGCCTGGGCAGCCTTGAAGGGAATCGCTCTCTTCATGTGGTGCTTGGTGATGCCACTCCAGCGTGTCCGGAAGTCCACGATGGGGAGCTCGGGCTGAATGTACTTGTCATAGATGACATCCCCCTCGTAGTTCACCACGGAGCACCGTGCCAGCTCACTCAGCCTGCCCTGAGGGCCGGTGCCCACCATCTCACAGTCAATGGCCACGTACTTGCCCGGGCGCAGGACCAGTGAGGACATTCTCACCTTCTTGGAGCTGTCGTTCCCCTGGGACAGCAGCACAGAGTGGTGCCTGGCTATACTGTCCGGAGAGGCAGATGGGGACAGGGATGCAGAGATGACCCGTTTGGGCTTGGGGACCTTGCCAGAGCGCTGTGTCGTGGTGCCATTTGCCTTGGTGAGGGTGGCGTGTGCCTCTGGCCCCGCCACGGGGGTCTGAGTGCTCCTGTGCTCGCGGGGGCTCAGCAGCCCCTTCTGCTCCAGCAGCGCCCGGCGCTCCAGGAACCGCTGGTGCTTACGGCTCTTCTTCTTGCTGCGGCTCTGCGGCGAGCTGGGACCCTTCGGGGCCTGAGGGCAGCCCACCGCCGAGGGGTCATGGGTGCCCTGCAGGGTGGGCGCAGAGACCGTCGGGGCGGGCAGCAGCGGGGTCATCTGCCCTTTGCCAGGTGGCATTCCTGCTGGAGTGTGCACAGGGGGGCATGAGTGCCGCGCAGCCCCCGTGCTCCCCAGTCAAAAACGACGCGCATAGCCCGTAGGAACCCCCCCTCATCCCGCAGGCACAGACAGGAGTTATGGGACAGGGAGGGGGGGGGCGGTGGGGAGGAGGTGCACACGGACACACTGTCACACCCTGTCCCCACCCCTTTGCCGCTTATTGCCCGGTCCCAAACCGCCTCTTTCCCGGTCCCATGGTCTTGCCAACTCTCTCGCCGATCCGCAGCCCCCCTGCCCACCCCACTACCCCCCCTGCCCACCCCATTACGTGCTCCCCAGAGCCCTGTCCGCCCATTACCCGGGCTCTCTCTGCCTCGCTCCGGGCCCCAGTGCCCTGCCCGCCCCATCACCCATTCCCAGGCCCGTACCTGCCCCCCTGCCCCTGCCCCTGCTCCCCCACCCCAAGGCCCCCTGTCCCCCACTCCTGACCGGTCCCGCCGCGCTCCCCACGTGTCCCGCCCGGAAGCCGCCGCTCACACATGCCCGGGCAAGTCCCGCCGTGGTCACGCCCCCTGTCCCCCTATTGGCTGAATGGCGGGTGATTTGCATGCGGGGGCGGGGCCCGGCAGGGCTGAGCGGTGGGCGGGGCTTCTGGGGCCCCGGTTATAGCGCGAGGGGGGAATTGGGAGTGTCTGAGGACATATCTGGGGTTTATATCCCAGAACCAGACGCTCAGGGCTTCAGGACTCTCACCTGGTGGGGAGGGCACCTTCGAGGTGTTGGGTTTTGGGGGTGGGATAAAATTTTATGCATATTTTGCGTGTTTGTGCATAATTGGTCAACAGAGTGTTGTCAGAATCAAAGTTGCGACATAAAGATATGTGCACGAGAAACGAAAGTACTCAAAAAGTAAATTCATTGCTTTGCCACGAAGTTGTTGTTTTAGGAGGTCAACTATAGCGATTCAGCTTGCCTCTTGTGTTTTGGAGGGCTGCTTTTTATTTTGGGGCATACGGCTCCGTGCCCGGGAGTGCAGCCTGGCACAGAAACTGTAGTTTTCCTGTGTGTTTCCTGCGGTGCAGTGCTGGCCCTGTGGGCATCCCTCCTTCAGACGGTGGGGTGGGCTGAGGCGCAGCAGCTCCTGCAGGGTTTGCATCCTCCAGGCTGTGCTCCCCAGGGTGGCGGGGGGGGGAAGCAGCTCTGGGCAGGGCATGGTTGAAGGTGGGGTTTCAGACCCGCCTCTCGTTGCTTCACTCTCAAGGCTCACAAAAGCAACGTCCGAGGTGGTCAGAAGTGGAGAAAGGCCACAGGCAGCCCCAGTCACCAGCTTGTCCCCACGCCTTTGGTGTCGCTGCATAGGCCGTGCGCCCTAAGGCAGACTGTGACTTGTTGTGGTGGGATGAGCCATACAACAACAAAATCACTAGTCTTCCAGAGGGAACCAGGCACCACGTCCATCCTTGTCCCACTGGGCTCCGCTCTGAGCATTCCCTCTCCCTGCCACAAATGGGGCTCACAGGGATGCAGGACAAGTGTTTCCATGCTCCGTCGTTCCCCTTTTTTACCACCCATGAGCTTCTTCAGCCTGGTCAGAAAGAAAAGATTTAGAGCACTCTGATTTATTTTTTCGTATTTCTTTTATGTTTTTCTTTTGGCCAGTAAACCTCTTCCTTAAATCTGTTGCTCTGTGTTTTGCATCTCTTACTTCCGTCCCTGCTGTTCAGCTAGTTAATCCCCCTTTAATAAGAGTCATTCAAGTGTCCCATAATACCTTGCTAGGGAGCCCTGGCAGGTCTCTATGTAGAAATTTATGCTATTTCTGGTGGTTTTGGTGAAACTGTGCATTAACAGCCCTCGGGGATAGTTCATTTGGTATTCCTGGGCCTCTTTGCCCAGTTTTTCTCCCCATAAGTGAGTGTGAGCTGATCATCATCACATGAGTGATGAGCCCTGATGTGGGGGAAATGGGCTTGCAATGCTGGTGGCATTTCTCCACCGGCTCTGGGTAGACAAGGAGGTGGTGTCACTGGCTGCTCTTCTCCTTCACACTCTGTTGAGATGAAAGGTTAAAGTGCCTCGACCATTCCTGGTTGACAGCTTCTCCCCAGACACATTGCTGCTCCACTCATGGGTCTGATAGCTCTTAGCTTGTTCACAAGAAAACCCATCCATCTCCCTTCCTTTCCCAGGCTGTATATGTTGCAAGAGGCATGTGATTCTCTTTGGCAGTGCAAAGTTTTTGCTGTACCCTCATGACTACAAAGAAACCTCAACAGGAGAAATTATGGCATGTCAGGAGGAAGGGAAAATCTCTTCCTGCTTTCCCAAGGTGACCAGGCTTAGGAAACAAGATAGTGCAGAATACAAGGGAACAGTGCTGAACAGTGCTGTCATTTTTCTCCCCTGCCCCAGATACAAGGATGGAGGTGAAAAAAAGTCAGAATATGTTTGTATGGGTCCATTGGTGTGCCGTGGTCTCCTGTGATCCCACTGACCCCGGGTCATCAGTAGATGGTTCTCACACAGTAGATAGTTCTCCCCTCAGCAGAAGCCTGATGCTGAACGGGGATGCCACTCACCTCCACGAGGTCCTGTGGCCATGCTGGGGATGGAGGGTTTGGCACTAGATGGTAAAAATCCTGTTCCAGGTGTGGCAGATGAGCTGAGATGAAGGCAGAGCGTGCCAGAGCCCCAGAGAGGTTTCTGCGGTGTTTGCACAATTTGAAATAATAATGAAATCTGTAAAACTCTGGGTAGAGCACGACTAGAATAACAGGCTAAATTTGTCGGATGAATAATTTACTAGAAGTGATTGGCCCCGCTCCAAGTGAGACAAGCACCAGCCTGGTCTCAGGCTGAGAAGCCTGAGTGTCTCTGTCCTCAGCTGGGAGCTGGTCCCTCTCCTGCCCACCAGTCATTGCTCCTGCCATAAAAGCTGGTCTCTAGCCCAGGTGCCTGTTCCCAAGTCATCACTGCCCAGGGTTACAGGGATTCCTGCAGAGCTCCCAGACCCCTCCAGAAGGTGTCTGCTGTTTATTTTCAAGGCGCTGCTTTGCAGCACGGAGGTGGTGGCAGTGGGTGTCTGTCACTGGCTCCAGGCTCATGGACTCGCCCATCCTCTGCCTCTTTCCTTTCTCCAACTGCTTCTCTGTTCTCGGCCATGGTGCCGAGTGGATGGAAGAACAGACACATCCTGACATTTGGGATGGGAAGGGAGATGAAGTCCCAGTGCTGAGAGGAGACGGCGACTGCAGCCTCGGCAGCCAATTAATGTGATCATGTTTATGAATGCGGATCAGTAATTCCAGGTAAACTCCCCAAGAGCAGTGCTGCAGGCGAACAAAGCCTCCTGCCCGCCCGGGAGCCTGCCAGCGGTCCCTGCCAGCACCAGCACGTTCCTGCTGTGACTCTAAACTGCCTCATTTCCTAGTGCCAGCCTCGACATGCATCATTTTGTCTCCTATTACCTCGATGCCAGAGCTCATCTTAACAGTGTTGGTTGCACCACGTCCTCCTGGACCTCTCTGTTCCCTCCCTGCCAAGGGGGAATGGCTGGTGGGAATGGGCAGCTCAGGCAGAGATTAACTCAGAGAAGGCAGCAAGGACCCAGCTTTGCCTCCACAGGTGATGAGAGACTGCTTCATCATCCTGGGCTTTGCAGGCTGCATGGTGCATCCCTATCACCCATCTGTGGTTGGAGTACCCCGCCAGGGTGCCCCGAGCTGCTCCCATCACTCTGAATAGGCTTGTGGCAGGCTGGTTTGTGTCCACCAGCATCCAAAGGATCAAACAGAAGCTGAGAAGCTACAGAAATAGATTGGGGCACTGACCGATCCCTTGCTGGACCTGGTTTCCTTTAGGGAAAGAAAGACTCATCATGAAGGGAGCACCTGGAAACACCACCACCACCCTTCGATGCAAGGGACCATCTCTGGCAGCCGGTGCCACCTGGCTGAAGTGTCACCAGCTGGTGGCCTGAGACCACCAGCACGAGGGTGTCAGAACGGACAGGCACAGTGTCACTTCCTGGCCTTTGGCAGGATAGCTCCATAGCAGAGGTTCAGCAGAGGGATCTCTGTGGGACCCCTCCATTGCCATGCTGAGTTCCCCATCCTCAGTTCCCCCCCTGTGAGACCAGTTGCGCAAAACCTCCAGGGGACTGCATCCCTCTTGGATAAGGGTGGGGATGGATGGTGTGCAAGAGCACCCGCTCAGCCTTGAAGACTACTCAGTGCTGGAAAGTCCTGCTTGGAAAGGACTCCTTTTCCTTTCCCTTGGAGCACCAAGAGCCACCCTATTTCTCTGACACCTCCTCCAGCACTCCATGGGACAGACCTCCTCCTCAGCCATGTCCTGGAGGGTGCCAGTGGTCCAGGGATGCTGCCAGGGATAAGGAGGGATGCTCCCTGAGCAGGAGGTGAGGGCAGATGACGCTGCCATACGTCTCCCACCTCGCTCCACGCTTTCTGGCTCACCCCCAGGAGAGCAGTGAGCAATTACAGGCCACATGGAATCTTCATTATTGCCCTGTCGTGGCCTCGTTTGACGAGATGTTTTACTGCCAAACTTATTAAAAGTGAAACGTGCGGTTTCTGCACGGCAGTTTCCTGTCTGCAGTGATAAGCCGGGCTCTGCCTGCTGTGTAATAAACAGTTATTTTTATGTACAGCTCTGGCTGGGGCGACAAAGAGGAGAGAGGGCCTGGCTCGTGTTAATTGCGATGGTTAATGGGATCTATATTGGGAGCAATGTGTGGGGGGGGTGTGTCCTCTCCCTGCCATGCTCTGCAACAGAGTGGTCTCCCGTGGTTTCCTGCTCTGGGTGCTGCTGCTGGGGACTGTGCAAAGTGTCCTCCCTCAGCATAACAGAATAAGAGGGATTAGTCTGAAACCCCCTTGCCTGCCTCATCTCAGCCTTTCGTCACAAACGAGAGACCTGCTGTGCACCCCCCTGAGACTCCCTCCCCTGCGAGGGCTGCCCTCGAGCTCTGCTGATTCCACCCCAGCAGGAGGCTGGAGGGAGTTCCAAATCCTGGGGGCTTTGCTTCAGCCTCCCCAGATCCTCCTGTCTGTCCAAGAGCCAGTGTACCAGCAGTGGCATTTGCAGGTGGTACCGGTGGCCAAAGCCCAGAACATCCACCATGTCACCTCCCACTGTTTCTCCTTGGGTGTCCATAGGAGGCAGGTGCTGGAGAGGAGACAGCAGGAGCAGTAAATTCAACAGGCACACTACTATCATGTCACTGCTGGGCTTGGACCGGCAAAAATCTGATAAATATCAGCAAAGCTGATAAATAGTTTCATTTCATCAGAAACTATTTTGTTAGAAACATTATGTCATTAGGTGTGTGGCCTGTATTTTGGTCTAATTATATCATTTTAATACGTTTTGAAAGGAAACAGCTTTTGAAAATGCAAGATGTCAAAACTGCATTTACAAAAATCCTGATTGGCTTTTTTTTTTTTTTAATTTTCCAGACCTGGCCAAAGCTATTAGTGGAACTCAAGCTGAAACTGCATAACTTTCCCCAATAAACAATTTGTCAGAAAAATTCCTCCTGGCTCTGGGAGATCTGTTCGTTATTTGTCAGCAGTCAAAACCCTGTTGGGTATTTCCCATCTGACTTCTTTTCTTAACAGCAGCTTTATTGGTCTGGGAATTAATAGCGGAAGATGCGATACTTGCTATTCATTGCAGTCATCCCAAATGCCACTCATCCCATCAGGCCACGGTTCCACAAAGCAGAAGCCTCTCTCCTTTCTCCAATGCATTATTTTTTTGGTAACTATGGAGTATTTTATCCCCGATTTCCTCCCTGCATGCTCCTGATCCTTGCAGAGTGCACCAGGATCCCGAGGCTTGGAGCCACATCAGGTCCCCTCATCCCTATCCCCTGCATCCATCCCCATCCCTGCTGCCCATCTCAGCCTCTTGCTGGGCAAACTCCCTTCATTGCCAGCTCGGGCCCTCATTAATTTGTATTGCAGCGTGTGTCGCGGGCTGATGTGTAATTAGAGCTCCTGAAGCCTGTCTCATGCTGTAATTGCCATGACAGGGGCCACAGCATATCCGCTTGTTAATTAGTAAACCACAATATCCCAGGGGCTCGTTGAGAGCCGCCTTAATTGTATTTCAGCTGGAACAGAGGGATAATTACCCTTTGCTAGTGCTGCCACTTTTAAATTCTTTTAAAAAAAAAGGAAAAAAGAGAAAGGAAAACCCAAATTGAGCTTCTCTCCCTCTCGGCAGCCGCCACTTCTACCCTTGGCTGCCCAGGGACCTTGTTTTGTCCCCGGGTTGAAGGGGAAGGGCTGTAGAGCTCAATGGCTTGGGGACAGGATGCCAAGAGCTTTACAAGGGGACGCACTCAAACTGGTGGTGACTGAGCTGCTCCGAGGGCGCTTCTGTGTCCCTGCACAAGGGACTGTGCTGGGAACCCCGTTTGTGGATGCAGGCTGGCTTGCTGGGAGTACTGTTTGCAGGGAATCCCACACTGGCCAGCAAGCAGCCCCCCGGCATTCCCCCCAGGCACTGCCTGGGCTACCTGCATTGCTGGTTTGGAGGAACAGCCAAGGAGGTGTCCAGGGAGGAGCGAGCCAAGGTCTCCAGGCTTTCCACCAGACAGAGGCGCAGCAGTCCCCTCAAAATGCAAGTGAGAGCTGCCGTGGGCTGCAGGAGGAGGCTCTTGCAAGATCTTGCAGGGCTTGGTGTAACTGTATGCTGCTGCCAAGGATGCACTTGTATTCCACATCCCCAACATTCCTGGAGCACCAGTGCTGAGCGGGACCTTGGTGCTGGAGGTCTCTGCTCCTACAAACCCTGTGGCCCCAGCCTGCTTGGCTTTAATGGACCTCAGAGGTGGATCATCTTCCTTCTCAGTTCCTTTCTTGTCAAACCTCACCTCAATGGGCAATGGGAGTCTTCTGGGACCTGGTTAAAACTTTTCCCTCCGTGGGAAGGATGTCCCTGCAGGGTATGAGATCACTCTTATAGTGATCGTGGGGGGAACACAAGGCTTTGGTGCAAGATGACAGAAGTGCTGATGCTCATCATCACCTCTCTGTGGGTACCACAGGCTCCAGAGCCCCTCTGCAGGGGGGTTATTGTCTGGTCAAAGATCTTTGGGGAAGGTTAACCTGGGAAGAGAAGCTAACGCATGACATCCGTCCCTTTTCCTATGCTTCTCCCTGAACCGACACAAATAGCTCAGCCACCATCAGCCCTGATGATTCCTGCTGTTCAAAAAATCGTATAATGGACAACTGGCCTTCAGGACCTGTTTTGTGAATTGGCTTAAATAACAGTCCTGGCTCTCCCCTGGGAAGCTACATGGAGGTCAGCCTTGAAGAAAAGATCAGTACAGTGGCTCCAAGCATTAGTAAAAAGACATAACTGAAGCAAAGAGCCTTGAACATAATTGTAGCCTAAGAGCTGTGATGGGAACTTGACGGCCTTAAACCATCTCCTGGACTTTAGTGCAATCAACAGATTGACACTGCTGGGTCCTGAAGGTTGGTTTTTGGAAGCTGTACACCAGGGTTGAATGCCAGAGCAGGCAGAGAAGCAGCACAGGTGCCTGTTCCAAAGACTGGAGCTAGAAAAGGGTCTCAAATGCCATGGAAGAACCAGATGGAGGCAACCACTGGAACGCTCCTCACATAATTGGGGGCATCTTCAAGGGTGAGCACGAGGTGGCTGCCCACCTCCAGAATGCTCCCACTGCTGCCATGCAAGTCCCTGTCATTAGAGCTGGGGATAGAGTTTATAGTTGAGTAACCACAACAACTTTGCACAAATTAAACAACACACTGCAGGTTAATTAGATTTCTTACAGCTGCCTCCATTAACTTAGCCCTGTCGCCTGCTGTCAGAAGTGGATGGAGCCCCTTTGAAATTACCAGGAGATGTGGATGGCTAAGTCTCTCCCTGGGCAACCATACCAGTGTGGGCATGAGTGACCACCTTCTCTTCTTGGAAAGTCCTTAGTGCAAGAGATGAGACCAGGTGGAGAGGTAGTTGTCCTCTACCAGCACAGGGGCTGGGCTGGACCTCCCCAGCTGGCATTTCAAACCCACCTTCTCCTAAGATGATCTTTAAGAAAAATAGGTATTTTTCCAGCAGAGTCTCTCTCTCATTATCCCACAGGGTGCCATGTGAATGCAAATAAACAAATGAGACCCCTTCAACAACATCTGAGAATGTGGCTTCATATTTTTAAACCAATTTCCTTCGACCGTGTCAGGGCCTGTTTTGTGTTTGCTTGACAATTATGTGGCTAATGAGGACAGCCACAGCTACATCAGGCGGGATTAGGAAGAATAAGGCATCAAATGTTGCAGTGCATAAGACAACTGTTAACTAATGGGGGCTCGGAGGGCATGTCCTGGGTGCAGGTGGCTCCTCACAGGGATCCTGGTGCTGTTTGGAAAGAGATGGAGCAGGCAGCAGGCAGCAGGCAATGGGCAGGCTGACCAGAAGGGTGAGGGAGATTTCTGGCCCCTGCATGGTGGCTGTGCATATGGGAAATGAGAAAGGTGAAATATTTAAGGAAAGTAGCACCAAGCACATGACCCAGAGGTTGTCCTATGGAGGCAGAGACACACATGAGTGTTCTGATGGAGAATGAGGCACCAGCCAAGTGGGAGCACCTTACAGACCTCAGCAAAAACGGGTCAAAAGCAATAGGGGAACTGAGCCTCATAACGGAGATCACCGAGACATTGGTATTTTAGCTGAAACCTTCCCATCCTGGCTCCCTGACAGTCAGCACGGAGCTTTGTGCAGCATTTCTAAGATGGCTAGGGCCATCTTCCACCCCCTGAAGAGGGTGAGGAAGTAAAGCAGGGACTACACCTGGTGCTCCCTGGGTCATATGGTGACCCATGGACAGCCAGCCGTGGCTTTCAGATGCCTTGTCCCAGCCACCTCTCTGCCAGCTCTTCCTCTGCCTGCTCTGCCATGATGATCTCCCATCGATCGATCGTCCAGATTCTCCCTCGCGTGCCGGATGGCTGCGGCGCTTCTCCCAGCAGGAGCTCTTGGTGTTCAGTGAATTCCTACAACAACAGCACCCCATACAGCTCTGCTGGGAGAGCAGCCAGGGTGGCTGTGCTGCTGCTCAGAGGGGCTGTTTATTCCCCTTTGGACTCTCCTCCTCCTGAACTTTTATCCTGCATTTCAGCTGCATTTTCTACAGAAACCTCTCAGCTAAAGTGAACAAGGACAGGTTCACCTGCAGATGGATGGATGCACAGCCATGACCACGGCAGAGGTGCCTCCACATGTCCGTATGAAGACTTGATCAGGAGACTACCCAGACCCAACAACCTCAAGATCAAGATGTCAACCACCCTTAAACCACATTTCTGTGGCAGCCCTCTGATGCACCCACAGGTTGGATCTTGTCACAGGAGGGCACAGAGCTGAGCATCTCATCCTCACATTCCTCATCCTCCCTTGCCAGTGCCATCAGGAGATTAATCTCAGAGTACAGTGGTTCACCAAGTCATCCCAAGGTCTAGGGGCCAAGGAGAAGCAGACAGAGCTCATGGATACACCCTAAACCCTCTTGCTGACTCTGGTCCATGTCCAGTCTCAGGGTCTCAGCCCAGCTGCAGGCTGTAGACCTCAGCACCATGCCTGCCCCTTCCCTGTCCCTGCTGTGGCCA